ATTTAGGAGTTTTTATATATTTCTTCTTTGTTCTTTTCGTGTCTCACATGTTTTCAAACTTGAATAATTTGCTCACTTTGACTTCAAATATTCGCTATATTTCATGCCGATGAACGTCTCTTCATATACCAGTAATAAATCTTATCAGTGGCACACGCCACAATATTACTACTATAATTAACTGAAATATAAGTACATTTAGAATATACCTATATCCTGACATAATTCACTCGGCACATTAATCGAGTTACAGGACAGCAATGCAGACTTTAAAACTGTGCTTCGGATTGCTTAGAAATTTTATACACCTATCAAATCCAACAATCTACACATCATTTTGTTATATTCACCATTTCGCAAACTGTACAGCTATAAATTCCATCTTGCTGAAGAACGACGACTTGGTTGTTGTATATAAGCTGAGATTTTGTAAATTCTGGTTTAATATTACTACTCTTAAATATTACTGTTAAAAGTGAACTTTGTTTGGGTATATACATATGTATATGTATATATCTTTAATTGCTCAATGGAATAAAGTTTACTACATTGGAAGTTGAATGTAAAGATTTTGGAATCATCCAGAACTACTTTAAAAATAAAAAAGGGATACGTGAATTCAAATTAACAGTTGGACAGGATACAAGGATGTTTAATCCCGAATAGTATACACAGTTATATAAAGTCAGATGGGATGAATTTACACAAACACAAATAATCTGAGAGTGTATTCCAAAAGTGTGGTTGCTTGCTTGATTACTTACCTCCATTCGAATATTTCTACTAAGACAATATAGGTGAGCACACAAAGTTCAATGTTGATAAAACTGTAGTATAATGACAATATCTGTCAGCACAGTTTCAGTTGAATACTATATCTATATCCATCCACCCAGATTTTATCATTTTCATATATTTTGTTTTTCAGAATAAGAGAAGATGAAAATTGCGTGTTGTGTGATGGACAGTAACAATCCTGTGTTTTTGTAATTAATTATGCACTCATTGCTTTATTTCAACTGCTTGTTTATATTAACTTACAACCATCTTTCCTTGTAAATTTTATATGTTCACATGTCTAATATATACCTATTTAATAAAATTTCTCTTCCTGTTAATATGAATTATGATTTCAAACAACACACCGACAGATTGATTTAGGCTACTTGAAGAGATGGTGATAAGCATTCTTAGAATTATGTTGTGAAGTAGAAAAATTCAGTCATTACTTCAACAAGTTCATTAAAACTCGAGAAGAATTTCTGTTGTTCTAGTTGAAACCTACAAGGATACGTTGCAAATTGATGTTAATTTCGAGTGAAAGAGAAAATCTGAGTCTTATTAGATTGGATAACTTCTTCGTGTTAGATTAAACCTCATAAAAATAGTGTTGATGTTCTTCATTAGTAGTGAATATCCTCAAAGGTTCACAGATTAATCTGAGGGCTACAGGGCAGCAGGACTACCTTTACGTCTTATTATCATCTATCTGTACACAACGGTAAATATTTGACACTAGCGAGGTTCGCGATCATAATTACATATTAAAGAAATCCAGTCAAGAATTAGTTTTCAAAGGCAACCGTGTTATGCTCTAAAGATGTGATAATAAAAGTACATAAAGCAGAAAATATGCGACCTCCTCAAACCACTCGGCTATCAGAATGTTTATCCACCAAAATGCCTGAATTCTTCTGCACTTATTGTTTTGATCGTGCAATTATATCAAATTACCAATATATGAACTCGCGGATATATTCAATTAGTTTCCCTCTATACTCAATGCATTTTTCGAAGGAACTGAAGACAAAATGCGCATAATTGGTTCTCTCTCCATATACAGCGACACTGTGACAAGCAATGCAATTCAGAATATTGCTTCATCCGTAATTTATGTATGAAGGGGAAATATTTTGGAACTAAATACGCGGAAAATTTCTCCTATATATGTTCACATATTACCTGAAATAGAGCTTTACTATTATTATTGGCGCGTCAGTGGCACAGCAGTAGAATGCTCGCCAACCACTCGTGTTGTTCGGGGTTCAATCCCCGGCTGACACACCTAGATAATCCCTTAATAAAACTGGTAAAGGTAGAAGGTTGGGCGTGAGGCTAGCAACCTCACCCCATCATAATGAACACCGCAGCTACCGAAACTTAATAGCTCAAGCTTGAATCCCTATGTTCCACTGAGAAAGTAAAGGAATGAAAAAATTATTATCAAACTGTTAGGATAGGACATCCCCTTGTGTTGTCCTGAAATCCATCTATTCAATTACTGGTGTCACAGTATCCTGATAGTTCGTTATCACAGTATTTTTCTTGATATTCTGAAAGCAGATTCCCTATACATCGCTGTTTTCATCGAGTACACATTAGCTTTACTCAACCTGAGAAATGAGAACAATTCATGACTGCAGATTACATGACACCATTGTATTAAATTAGGTCTTTCGAAGGTTTTCGTCAGTTTAAGTTGTTCCTTAACATACCACTTTTATTAAAATATGCAGGCATCATACATTTAGCAGTTTTATTTGTGGGTGAGGAGAACAGGAATAGTCTCTAAGACCAAGAGTATCCAGACACTTTCTGAAAAACAATGGCATATCCTAAAGGGACTGAAATGCACTGTGGGTAGAGAGAAGACAAGAATACTTTAGACAGAGAAGAAGACTCTATGAGGTCTGTACTTCGCAAAAGATTTATGTTTAGCATCACAGAAATTCGAACATCTGCAGGTGAAAAGCAACAAGATGAGAGTAGCAGAAGCAAATACAGGACTTCAAGTGAACATAGAGTATGATTCCATTGTGGTTAAAATTTCATTTTAATGAAGTCACACAGTGTGATACAGTAATATTTACTGATGACGTTACTAGATTAATTTATTGCTCATAATCATATCAAGGCACTACTCACATAACTCTCTTGCTTCGTTTATATACATGTCTTATCAATTTTTACTCATGTATATAAACAAAGCAAGAGAGTCATCTGGATACCTTGATATGATTATGAGCAATAAATTGTGCCCGAAATGTTATCAATAAGTATTACCGTATCACACTGTGTGACTTCATCAAAATAAAATTTTATCCATAACGGAATTATACTCTACCACCACAGTGCCAAAGTTTCATCCTTATATGAACTTAGAGAAGACAGAGGTGAGGAACGCAATCAAACAACAGCAACAACAGACAGCACCAATCACCATCAAGAGAAGAAATTCAGAAGAGGTCACTTCCTCCACTTATCTAGGCAGCATCATTTCAACTACAGGCGGGCAGCACGGACGAGGATGTCAAAGCCAGACAGGAGTGAAAAGGCAAGGCAGACGATTATCACTCTAAGGTCAGTTCGGAAATCTGTTGTACTCAGAACAAAGAAGAAATCCGGATTCTTAACACCAATGGTAAATCAGTCAGTGTGGTGTGAGGACAAATACTCTCCAGAGATGGTACTCGCTAGTGGCCAAGAAATCTAGTGAATTGGTAGAAGCTGTAATTCATGGGCTGGTTATTGTTTCGGGTCCCACTGCCTTAATGGTCTACCAGCCCACCTTGTAACCGGAAGCTCCTGGGTTGGAAACCTGGCTGTGGGTGCGTACTGATGAAAAGTCCTAAACTAGAACGAAACTGATGTCCCATAATCTCTGGTGGTTTTCCAACGCTTCTCTAACCGATGTCAGTGCATGATGGAATCTTGAAACAAATCAAATCCCTCCAAACTACAATTGAATATCTTCTGTAGGCGCCAGACATTTACTGCAATTCAAGCAGAGTTATTCAAACAGCTTCCATACACACATCAACAGCTACCTTAGTTACATAGTGAAGACCACACGACCAAGGAGAATAAGCAACAAGAAATTATGCGAGCGAAACAGTGAGAAAGCTATTCGTCAACAAATATGCCAAAGAATAACCCGATCGATCGGAAAGAGACACAGGAGATCGTGGATAAACATTAAAAATCAGTCAGTCAAAATCAATCCACATACTCAAATATGAATGCTCTTAAAGGGTTGTTCAGATGCCATTTTCACATCATGCCTTCTTCGGTTCTTGTCGTCCTGCTTACTAGCTCTCCTCAGTAGAGCGTATCTGCCACCTCAACAGGATTGATATCCCCTCTAAAATTATAACCTGCATAACTTTATACTTCAGTTAGACATGCTAGTGCTGTGGTATTCGGACGACGACAATTCACATTGCATATCTGACTAAGAGCAGTCAGTCATCATCAACACTTTGAGGTCAACTCATGACACTGGTTACGCCTTAATGGCTAATCAATACAACATACCTTCTTGTGGTAAAACAAATTGTGTGATTTCAACAAACAAATATTTTCTTCACACTTTGCAGTATTATTCCAAATATATATTTATTACCTGTGAATGTTTCACAAATATAACGAGTCGATTGTGACCCTATATTAAACTACATGTTAAGAAATTCAAGAGGATTACGAGGATATTGCGCACAAGTATAACTAGCCTAATTTTAATGACTTGTCTGAATTTTAAGTAGGAGTGTGTGTGAGTAATTAGAGGATTATCGTTAATGATCCCACACGGTTATAATTATACCAGTGTCCAGTAAATTTGACAAATTAGTTGTCCCCATACCAGTGTGATTGCGAGGTGATATTCTATTGGAAGGTATCAGTGATTGTACTAAGATTAATATAGTCATGAGAGTGGTGAACACAATATACATTCTCAGAGAAAATGAAGCGAATAATTCCAAACTTTTGTTTGGCAATCTGTTGCAAACTTCTTCAGGTAATTATTACATATTGAGGTAGAAATTCAGAGTGTTAAGACGAGAAGAAGAGTTGAAATACATAGGGGTGGGTGAACATACAAGATGAATCATATTTAAAAGAAAAGTAAAGAAACGTAACTTTTCTTTACACCAATATTAGCTATCGAATGATTTGTCAAGTGTTCTCAGCTGAAGACGTAATTAGTTCTTATTTATCTTCTCATTTGTGCCAAGCGACTGCCTCATTTTCGACAGAATCCAGGTCCTGTGAATGGTTTCACATTCCAGTTCAATCTTCAAAAGGCAAGAAGAAAGAAGTTTAAGAAGAGCAGTATGAACTGGTTGTAATGTCTTACGCAATAATGTAAGTGACGAAAAGTATTCATGGAAGTTTGATGAGAATCAATGACACAAGGGTTAAATGTCATCATGATCTCATTGCAGCTCTCAGACTGCATTTGTTTCCCTTCATCTGGACAGTATTCACCTCACCTAGTCTCTCTCTCTATTTAAATAACTTGCCACTGCTACCATAATCAGCTGTCATCGAATTGAAACATACTCAAAGCTGAAACACTTACTGATTTCATATTCTCAGAAATGTTGAAATCCATAAGAAGCAGGATTGATGATCCTCATTATTATTATTGTTCCTTTGGGTTCCTAGTGGAACATAGCGCTTCAAATGCACATCTCCACTTGCTTCTGTCTTCTGCTGTACTTTTCACTTGCATCCATGTTAGTCCATACTGTTTCAACTTCTCTTCACACGATCTCCTCCATGTCACCCTTGCACCGAAGAACCACTCGCCGCTTCCCTTTCAGGTTCCACTCGAGCGTTGGTCTGACGCGCGATGTCACCTAGCGGCCTCCTCAGCTCAGCGAGTGTCCAATCCATCTCCACTTTCTCCTGCATATTTGTTGAGCGATTGGTTCTTGTTTCGCTTGTTCCCATAGCTTCTTGTTGGTGATTCTTTCCGGCCATCTGATCTTGAGTATAAAGTGGAGACAGTTGTTGATAAAGGTCTGCAACAGGCTGTTGGAAATATTCTTTGTCACCCGCCAAGTTTCTGATCCGTATAGAAAAACTGACTTGACGTTTGTATTGAAAATCCGAATTTTGTTGTTGATGCTGAGTGACGAAGATTTCCAGCTGTAAATGGGATGAATTTGGCCTATCTATATAGGACAACTGCGAAGGTGTTGCTGTAGTATTAGTGAGTTGAGTAAGCAGATTTCAACATTCCGAGAGTTAGAACTGGAAGCAGTAAACTTACTGCGTACTTCAACATTCCACGTGAATCTTACTCCGAAGTCACAATACGTAGTAAATCACCTGTCTAGTATTCGGAAAATGTCTCTGTGTGCAATGAAGTGAACACAGACGACTCTGCAATTAGATACTCCTGTCATTTTCGATTAGTGTATATTACTTTGAGTCAGATAAGACATTAACCAGTATGTGGTGAACTCACACAAGTGAGTGAATTTCACTCTGACTTTCGCTGGTCAACATCAGTTACTTTGCATAGTTGGTCATGACAGGATATTCTGAAGTTTCTTGGAGATGTGTCTTTTTGAAAACACGCTTGAAATGATTTCATGTAGCTAAGCATTATTTGTTATTCAGTTGTATCTCATTTGATAATTCAATAAGTCATAGAATCGAGTTTTGTTCACACACCACACGAATTACTTCCACTTCTGTCAGCAGTCTAATTTCAGTTAGTTTTGAATGCATGAGGATATATACTACTGATAAATAGGTAGATGTCAGTAGTTGGACGATATGCATACCGACCAGTAGTGTTTACTTGTCATATCAAATTGACGTAAACATTGAATAGCCATTTCAATAGGTTTGAGATGAGTTTATCAGAGGTGTATCCAGTGTGAATCAACTCAGAGATCCGAATCAGTTCTGACCAATCGAAATCTAACTATCTAATAAGACGAACTTGTAATCCACTGGTTCAAATTCATCTGGGAATCGCAATTGATGTTTCATGTGAAAGTTATCCAGTTCGATATGATATTTCACCACAGCTTCCTTCAAAAACCAAAATTTATCAGATCATAAAGTATGTGTGATCTGGTTCATACCATGAATTGCAGTCAATAAAGCAAGCATATATCAATACAAAACTGACTGATCGGTATGACCAGTTGCACGGCACTCACACTAACCAGATGTGCTTCCTCAACTGATTTAAACTCGACGCACCATTGCTGAACCCAGCACAAAATAAGTGAAACGACCATTGGGTGTTTGCATCAATTTGACCTCGCCAACAAGCTAAACTGTTCGATGTGAGCAGTGACCAACTGATCGATCACTTGTATCGATCAATCAGCAGCATGTAGCATCATGCAAATATGCTTGCCCTCTTGATTGCCATTTAATCTTACCAAGATGGTATACACTTTTGTCCTGAAAAATTGCCAGTCCCAGGAAAACTGTGATGAAATGTCGCCTCGAAATGTGTCATTTGCACATGGAGTGTTAATCTACATATTTCGAATATGATTCTATGTCGGGTGTGATTTACACATTTTAACCACTGTCGAATTACAAAAAAATGTGTATGATGTGTTGGTATGTTTGTAAGTTTGATTGGAATACTCGAAATCTCTATTGAAGCAATACAGTATGTCCCTTAGACAAGTCGCCTCTCCTAATTGTGTCATAAGTGACAGTTAACTGTCCGTTCGCCAAATATTCTCAGTCAGTAGGACAGATATGCATTACAGAGACCTGGAACATCAGCCTCTGTTTACTTATGAGCTGATTAAAAGATGATACAGTTGTATTCATGAGTCTTGCATTCATCCTATTTCTTAGATGATGGACTCAGTTAAATACATCAGGTGGCTTCCACATTCTTTTGTTACATTGACATAGACCTGCATATCAGTGTGAGAATGAATTTCATATATCAGTCTTACTCACTACTCACAGCTTAATACTGGACGGTTTACTTCATTTGACTACTCAATCACATGAAGGTCACCGGCGATATAGCAGAAATCCGCTGTAACTTTCAATCACTATCTCAAGGAAATCACCAGTCAGACTGCAGATACACTTTTCAGAGAAGTTGACAACATATCAAAATGTGCATCCAGTCGGCTATTACAGCTATGAGTACACTGCTAACAGAATTTGAAATCCCATATCACTCTATGTTATTCGGTGTGTCTCCAGTGACAGTGTGCATTGTTAATTTTAAATTTTACAAATGAAAATAAGCAGCTTTCACTCACAGTATCATTTGACAATGGAGCCTCTTCAATCTCTCTGAAAAATCATGAAAATTGCCTGCATCAATTGACCAAAGACGTTCAGCAGCTACAGCAGTTATCGGCCTTTGACATGTTGTCAGCGAAGTTATTCCATTCGAGATGAAAGTAAAATGAAATGTGCTTGTAATACATGTCAAGGATGAAGTGGTTGAATGGAGTTCTAAGTAGAGAAGTGTATTCTGTGCATAGTGAACAACCGTAAATGTTTCTTAAACGAGAGTTCAATGAGACCCTCGTTTCAGTGGTATGAGTGAGTTCCAGTTTGTTTTCAGATACTTCCATGATAATCTAGTCACACGAGTAAACTGATTTCTTTGTCAAGTAGCATGAAACATGATCGCTTTCTAGTTTCGTAATACGGATTAGATTGTGCCATTCAAGTTTCCAGTGTTGGTGTATATCTGAAATACTGGTGTTAGTTGTGTTATTGCTCAGTATAATCTCGAGGTTGCAGATACCCTTTAATTGCCGATTTTATATACTCCTGTTTGATCGATGTGAGTAGTTTGATTATATAATTATAATATTAATACAATATCAAATGGATGGGAAAGTTCCAGAATAATTTCCTAATTAATACAATACTAATAGTTTTATTCAGAAGAGTGTTGATATACTGTGCAGAATACTTTCAGAATTATTGCGCAACCCATTGCCTTCGTCTGGCACCCTCAGGTAAAATGGTAATTGATAGCAGATCGCATGGTGTACTGTCTTCTGACCTGAAGCAATCACCAATTCCTTATGATATTTATTCTTCATCTCCTTCGAGAAAGGCATGACATTCGGTTGAAAACCAGTTAAAAGAAGTCCACGAATACACTTTGTCACAACATTAGACATAACGAAGACATAACTGAATGACTAAAGCCTTCAGGTAGTTAGTTTCATTTCCCAGGGAGTGGCGGTGTGTGTGTGCTTAAAATGTCAGAAACAATTATCGAATCGGCCAAGTTTTAACTCTGAGCACCAGTAGGTGCCAACGGACAAATGACCCTGAAAGCGCCAACCACACGGTAATGGGAATTTCGCGTATAAAACGAATATATATTCATGAAAGTAATGAATTAAAAGGCATGAAACCGTTACGCAGCGTACCACCCTCTGATATGTGACAAAATAACTTTCAATGTGGGATTGGAGTATCGACAGAGTAATTTAAGCATGTTTCATGTATGTAATTACCTTGGTCTTCTAACCCTAATAACAACAACAACCCTAATCTTTCCCTAACCTAACCATATGGTGAAAATATCCCTACTTGAACTAACTCTTATCTAACTCGAACAAACCCTAATGTCACCCTTATTGTGCTAACGTATTCCTAACCTGTCCTTAGCCAAAAGCTTAATTTTCTCTTTCCAAAACTTTAACTGAAACTTGTCAGATATCCCATTTAGTAGCATAACACTTCATCAGGCACACTTAATTCATGATTCCAGTATTATATGCCAGGTGTCATTAACTCAGTTTTAGACATTCACGAGAACGATTGATATAACCAGAGGTCATATTTCTATAGATCTGTGCATCTAGATCCGCTCCAACTGCATATTAAACAGGGTCCGCTTATTTTGAAATTATTCACACGACAGTCATTAAGGTCATTTTCATCAAAGTATAGTATAGTAGTAATATAATGCAGTGGTGTCAAGCACACATCACAGTTCTTCATATAAATCTACAAGAATTTGACATTCTATGAAACAATCATGTTTAGTTCTAACAGCAAATTAATTGCAAAGTCAATGTTCAGTCAGTCTTGAATAATTGATGCACATGAGACCTGAAAACACACTGTCCAGCACAGTAATTACATATCTATCGTTAATTGCTTACCATGATCGTAGAAAGAGATTCGTGTCATCCACATATGTTCCCCAGATGATGACTTCGCCACCAATCACCAACTGAGCTTCTTCCTCAGTACCTGTAAATAGAAGAAACACAACTATTCGTCAGTATCACAAACATTGTCAGAGTAAAATATGCTTCAGTGTCATCATAAAATTGTCTTCCAGACACTTCGGCACAATAATTGTGAAAATGTCCTGTGTGTTTATCTGTGAGCATGTGGAGGGATGTCAATGCTCTACTGCTTGTCTATTCCACAATTCTCCACTCCAATCTTACTTATACATAGTACAGTTCAGATCGTCTTGTTTAACGAATTCTACTGTATCTCATGCAGAATATCAACCCCTACAGTCGTGTCTGAATTATCATCCATTCCACGCTCCATTCACCGCTACAGAATATCGTCTGATTCCACTCAATTGTGTACACATGGATTAATATAGTGGCAGTTTCTCACGTCGATAATTGACAAGTGTCAAGTGTCTACTGGAAGCCTAACATCTGTCATTAATTTTATACGGGATTTACAATTTATTCATAAATAGCATCATAACTACCTCCAAATGCAGCAGGATCACAATCGTACAACGTCTTCCATGCATCATCGAAATTCCCAACAACTTTCGACCAACACGCTGAATTGATCACTCTGTATCCAGATGAGGTGACTGACTTGGTGACATCCTCCCAGTGGGAATTATCGTGTACTTGTATGATGACGGCATTTTCATTACCCTGGTAATTTAAAACACGAAATATTAACACTATTTAGATGATCATATGTGTGAGATTGGCATTTCGGAATTCATCTATCTCTGTGTCAATAGGATTCTTTCAAAGCTTTAGGGTAGTGCCTGTCGCCTCATTCCTTCTCTGTTTACTGGCATCTTCTGGTCCATTATTACTCTTTTCATTGGTGTTCAGTTACATACTACTTGTCAAAATAAAGTAGTACACGCTCATACTTTGTATAATTTACTTTCATCACGCGACAAGAATTAGTCATTTCCATGTTTCACCGTACGTCCTTGTGAATGTCTATATTCGACTATTTCTGATTAATTTTGCCCCACTCTGTACAGCCGCGCGTTGTTTTTTCCTGACTACATTCAAAAGTGACTTTTACACAGCTCTACTGCTTTCATTTACCGACACCGTTATGGTGCTCTGACCGAATTTATCCTGCACACCTCACAATTCAAGTTTTTGAAGTTGTGTTCTTCTCCTTATCTAAAATACGGTACTAAGTTAAAGGAGAGCTATCCAAGCAGAGCAAACGTACCAATGAATTCGCAAAGATCAACATCATAAAGGAGAGGTGTTTCAGCGCCTAACTCAACACTAACCCCAACCTACAGCTAACCTACTCTAATCCTGCCTAACCCTAACCTATGCCTAACCTAGTTCTGCCCTACCACCTCCCTCTAACGAAAGCTGAAATAAAGCGGGTATCATGTTTCATACTTTCACACTCCTCTTGTCAATTCGTTATGAATACAACGTCACTTACATGAGTTCACACATTCACTGTGGTTGCCAGTTTTAATGTCATTGGCGCCTTCGTTGTCTAACCTTTCCCTTTCTGAACAAATCCATATAAGCCAAGGATTTCATTGATTCAAACAAAAGTTTAGTTACGGCTTATCGCACAGGATCTCTTGGAAGAAATCCACACTGCTCAGTTATCACTATTGGTAACTCACCACACTACCTCATGTATATGTTGAATCAAGTGATTTCAGATACAACAGACACGTGTGGGTGTTTGGATACTTAAACTGACACACTTCCACATCATAAGACGCTAAACACAGAGCCCATACACGGTGTTGATGATAATAATAGTGATAATAATAATACTCCCGATTTCGCTTATCTCAAAATAACCAGTAACACGAGGTTTATATTCCCAGTATTTTTGAAGACTAAACTCCCATTGGTTGTTACATTTTCAACCTATCAGGGAATGTAATATGTATCCAGGCCATTTAAAAGCTATGCATATGGGATCACGGTAGTGTCTGAGTATTGTTGAGTCAGCGAAATCTTTCCTCCAGCGGGCCACCTTCTCTCCCATGTCGCCCGCAGCGGTGATCTTACTGTTGTGGTGGTGGAAATAATTAACGTTAAAAGAAGGATTATGTTAGGATGGCTTCCAGTCTATGACCAGTCGGATCAAGTCACTTCCTATGAAGCAGTTGATATATGCAAAACATCCAATGTTAATCTCAGGATGCTGATTTCATATCCCGGATAACGGTACGTCGTCTTGTGTTACATTGAAGTCAATCAGTCGAAGTGTTAAGATTTAAGATAATAAATGGAATAAGTTTGCGAGTGTCCGGATTGTAGCAAGGTGTGAAAATATGGACACATTTTTATCCTCACGAAACTGTTTCTCAACATTGTTTTCGTGTGCTTCTACACAACAATTAGGTGGACAGACAAACACATACAAATACTTGTGAACTGAGATGAGTAGTCAGTTGGGTCAGTGGAACGACATGAATATTTCCACATGTTCACTTCTAAACTATCTGCTTGTTTCAGTGTATTGTAATCATACTCTGGAAGTCAGTGTATATATTCCCAAAAAGCACACTTCTCGTCACTTCCAGTCACATTCAGTCAGGCTTGTAAATTGAGCAATGTTCACTTCAAGATGAAGAAATGACAGCGAGGATATTTGTATTTCTTACACCACTCAACTTCCTGAGTCTTCCATTTGTTGACTCATAATTCACTTGAATCAGTGATACTATGTAAAAATGAAGAGTTTGTGACTTTTTGGAGAGGTTTGAATGCAAATCGATGTGACTAGAACAATGAGGCAGGATGAGGATGAAAAGGAAATACTGATAAATCGATGAAGTTCCTCTGGATTCAATTGTGAGGTGGTACAATAATGATTCAATAATCTGATGAGAGTTCTGCTGCCATCCTTCTTCTGTTCATTGTATTTATGATCTGACTCGAAATTCACATGCTCAAAATATTTCAAATTAAAACTAAATATCTGATCTGGTTATTTAGGTGAGAGTAAAACTGCATTAAGTTATGAACAGCAATCGTAAATTGATGAATACTTACTCGGAATCCATTCTCAAATACATTCTGCCACACCACAGGTGTCACGCTTTGTGACTTTGACGTAATATTCCGAATAACTTCTGTGAGGCGTTCAAAATAATAATTTTCTAATTTATTGTAGTCTTGATCGAATCCTTTCTGTTTCATGAATTCTTGGATGTTGGCATCTTCTCGCCTACACACAACAGAACAACATGTTTCTTGTTAGAAATGCATGTAACCTTCTACAAATTGAGTCTACTGACATTCTTTTATGAATAGATTGCTGGATGGATAGACTAAGCGGAATTCGGATGTGTTGGCTGTGTAATCGTGGGACAATGAAACTACTTCTTGTCTTTCAATAGATAAAGACACCAGAATAGAAAGTCGGTCAAGCGTTTCATGGTGTGCATGTGACGAAGTAAAGGGAAACGCACATCTAACGCCTCAATAGGCATGGATGAATGCCAATCTACCATCATTACTTTCTATAAAATATAGATTCAACTTACAATATTAACTAATATTAGAGCAGAATTTAGGCACTATGGTAAAGTATAATTCCATATTAGACAAATTGCCTCGATACAATACACCGTAATACTGTCTGAATCATTGGATGATGATGTTTCGAGCACAATTTGTTTGTCACTGTTGTTAATATTGAATGAATGTCCAATGACATGGGATATTCAAACTGGTTTCCCTTCCATTGGAAGTTGCAATACCTACTGTGTTTTAGTTGCTTGCTGTACAGCAGAAGATTGGAACAATACGATCAGTAGTATTATTGAGAATTATACTGATGTCTATTAAAGACTCTGAAGCTGTAGCATTTGAACTCGTAACATTTCGAAGCTTTAACTGTTGCTCCTGTAACTCTTCGCGCTGTAACTGTCTTGTCGTGCTGATTTATTGTCAGTGGAACAATAAACAATCTCCAAATCGACAGTTTGTTTTCTGATATTTTCGAGTTGGTTTAGTTCACAGTTTTCTGAATGCATCTATTGGCCTTCAGGGAACAGCACCAGCTTAGGTTGAAACTGGTACATTTACACTGTTCTTGATCAAAATCACATCAGTGCGTTCACACAGCTTGAAAACTTACTTTACGTGAGTATGCTTCCCTAAGGGTAATTTGTTCGCAGTCATCCCTATATTAGGGATAGCTGATAGGTCATTTCAATTCCATGTGTTTGGTGTTGATTTGATGCCAACGTTTTCAGCGATTAAACTCTCTCTCTCTCACTGAATACTCGTTTGGACATCTAGGTGCTTATGCGGCATGAAAAACATGTTCTACATCGTCTTCAAGTATGCACACACAAATAAGACCATATCAGTCACACCTACTAATCATGATTCGATTGTAAAATCAACATCAGCGTAAAAATAAAGTTCAGCGTTTTCTATTTCTGTGAGTTGTAATGCTAATTTTAAGTCAGTTTATGGGTAAAACATTTGTGTGAATCTCTATCGCAGTAGTACAGTTGGTTAGATTTATGGCTGCTATTGTAGAAAGTCAGTGTGACTATTTTCACCCTTAACTGCAGGTTCTAATCTTATTCTTCCAAGCCATTTTGGAAATATGAGTTTTGATAGGCTATATGAAATACTCTGAAGCAATCTTCTTTGGTGAACAGTCTTCCTGTTTTATGTCCATCATAACTTTCACCAGGTGTTCTAGAAGTCACCAGTAAGGATACCACAACTCATGCAGGTACGACCAGTTTCCGATCTAAAGAATCAAAGCCACCTTCATTATTTGGTGAGCACTTCAGAGATTCGCTATGCGTTTCGTCCCTACAGGCACCTTCCAGCTGCTACATTTGTGTAAATATTTTGTCACGAATTAAACAAAAACTGAGAATAACCGTTTCACACGGTTATCTATGTGCATTAATGTCTTTTAAAAGAGGTAGTGTTAAACAGCGAATATGAGGTACAAAGCAAAGATTATCGGAAACTTAAACTTAGGAAACATCTGGCTATTTGGCCTTTCCTCACATGATGAGAAAGCCGAATCGCATCAGATTCCTTACGAGAAATCATTCAGCCATATGCATGTGCGAAACTAATCACACATCAGAAAACGTCAGCACACTCACCATGATTGCCTGTCATAAACGCTCCCACCTAAATGTAAGACACGGTCAGGAAATACACTCAACACTTCGCTGAACAAATTTGATAGAAATGGCCAGACATTCTCATCGACTGGATTGATTGGTCCGTCATGTGATTCGCCAGAGAGGATTTCAGGATGACTTTTGCCCCATGATAGAGTGTGACCTAGATGACAGAAAGATATGTGGGATAGTCAGCTTGTTACCGTCGTGCAAACATTAAATGAGCATACTATAAATTATTTAAATTAATCCCAGCATGTTTAAGAAAAAATCAAAACAAGATTTTTTTGAATGTTTCTCTGTGTAAGCCACAGCTTCTTCAGGAGAATAATTCGGATCTTTTTAATTAATGGATGACTAATGAATCAGTCTGACTTGGCGCTTAAATTATTCCAGGAAGTTCGTGACATCTACTATCTGGAAAGTTATAATCAAATGAGTTTATTTCACTGAATCTCATACACTGCTTGCTTCGATCCGAATGTCAGTCACCATAGCAGATTGTTCTACGAAATACGCTTCTGTATGTGAATTCTTGGTCCGGTTATTAGTGTTTCGGGCGCTTCATCATCGAGGTGACGTAGAACATCTTTCAAATGTATTCAGAGGTGCTAACCTCTATGCAGTTAAATTACCAAACACAAGTGTTTACTGTCGGAGAATGGTATCTGTTGAGTATGTAATCGGTTTTCCCCAACCAAGATTTGTATTCCGGTGCTCCTATTTTCAGGCACATATTATTTCACTTTTATGAACTAGAGGTATCTCACACTTGTCTGCAGTATTCACAACTTTTGATGACTTTCGTGAATGAAGCTGCTAAATTTTATCACATCTCAGCAATTAAATTTGAATCTCATTATCAAAACAGGTAATTGATTTTGGCCACCCGGCGAATCCCTAATACAGTCTTAATGTCATCTGGAGTGTGTGTGTGAAAATCTTCTGCTAACAGTGGGGATAATCAGAACTCTTTCAAACTAAGGAAAACAACACTTCATGGATGGAGTAGCTCTATATATGAAAAGGTCTTCTTCAGTCATGTGATACACAGTGAATATGGCCATTAAGATGTTTTATATTATATATTTGAAAAGTTCACCTTTCATTCTCACCATCTTATTCTGTACTTCTAACTTTATCTTTTATTCAATTTTTCGGCGGTCGAATTAAACCAAATTCTATTGTCTACATTAGGCGGCCAGATCGATCTGGTTACTGAATCTCGGCTTATTTTTCATAGACTCGAATGTGGTCTGAATGTCCTGGACATTGAGTGAAACTTTCACCTATTAGAATCTATAAATATTTGCAGGGAAAACTCTTTCCTAGCAAGTAATAGCGATGAACACACACATTTTGTGGTGAGAGCTGGCTGCCAGCCAAATTGGTAGACAGTAATTTACGTCAATGCCCACGTCCCCAATATTGGTCGTGAAAAAATTAGAACAAAGACAGATTCAACAACCAGTCACAGCAGACTTTGCGTAGGCGGATACAATTTGCAGATAGATTATCTGAACTTCAATAAGCGGCCACAAAGAGATGAACGATTAACATTCATCGAGAAACCACCAATCAGAAGACCCTGTATGTTTTCTCACAATAATCTGTAATCATGAACATGAAAATATTATAAATATGTGTTGATTTCCTGGCCTGACCCTTGTCTTCTGTCGTTACAATATGACCGCATAATTTGCGAATCAGTCACCCATAAACTGAGATTAGTATTAAATGACAATTACAAAGTGCACAGTCGGATGTTATCACAATAATTTCTATACTCCTCACCTGGTGAATCAAATTCAACAATCACCCGAACACCATGTAATCGAGCGAATTCTACCAATGAATCAATTTCATCCTTTTCATACACATACGAATGTGGATGATACGCTCCCTGAAAATACAATCATAATAAAAAAACACAGTGATAACGCATTTGACTGGGAATATCTCACCTTTGAAGACAATTCAGGATACACTGAAGAAACATACGGGAAGGATTCATCATCTGTCATATGCCAGTGTAGCACATTCATCTTCACCATTGATAATGCAGCCTTTCAATTCAAAAATTATGAGTCACATAACAAGAGCAGGAGGTGGAAGGCAACTTACAATGACATTCTTGATTGTTTCAACGCTTAGATAATGTCTGGCTGTATCGATCATCATTCCTCTGTGTGGAAATCTTGGTGAATCTTTTATGCCACACTCAAGTATCGAATTCTATTATCGTGAAGTGAGCACATTTCTGCACTGTACCTTGTAGTTCTGATCTCTGAACACTAGTTGCAGGACTGTTTCCAAAGCGTGTAATGCTCCCCATATTTCATCTGATTGAATGTGTATGGTACCATTGGAGACATTCAAAATATCTAGATGACGAAATTCCTCGTGTTTAAACACCTAAAGTGCGTTCCACCTACATGATTCCTTCATTGAATCGGATGGCCATAATTTTCCATTTTCTTCATTACAGCCTTCAGTAATATCAATTTGAATAGTGGTCACTTTGCAGGAATCTGGTGAATGAGCGTTAATCCGCTGTGGTACTTCTTCTAGACGTAATGCAAAACGTTTTAATGCATCCTCTAAGATATAGCACGAGTTGTAGTTATGTTCAACACTCAGAGATCTGGTGATTCCGCATTCGTAAAATTCTGAAGCATATTGTTTCGCTTTGGGGATTAAACACTCTGAAATTGCAATGAACCATAGTAATAAGAATGGGTGGATCAGGATCCTTTGTGCAGGTCTCATGACTCAGCTGGGTTGGGATTAAGTGAGTTAAATGATCAACGTGCTCTTTCGAATCTATCTGTTTTTCTGGTTTTGGTAAAGGGGTTAACATTTTATACTACAATTTGATGAAATCGCCATTTTAGGATCATAGTGTCAATACTTCGAGGTGAATGTACACTTGAAGTGGACTTTGCATTGGTTTGTTCAAAGTGGCATGTTTTTTTATTGAAACACGCAGATTCACACAGAATTTGAAAAAAAAGAAGTACCAATCATTTACTGAAAAATTAATCAATAACTTGGAGAACTTATATGAATATCAAAGAGATCAAAGTTTATGATATGAAAAAATGTTTTAGATGGACAAAGTCGAGAAAATATTTATGAAGACTGTCACACAATGACAAATTACTGATTGTGTGTTGCAGAGAACATGAAGAATCCACAATATCTCTGAAACTTCTGTGTGAATCACTCGGTTCAATCACATTCTACTGAGCTTCCAATGTGGTGAATGTTGAATATAAAGTGACGTCCCTGTGGACTAATTTTATCCCCTCGGAAAGTCTCTTTTGTAACACCTTGAGTTTGTGTCACATGTGTTGCATTTGAATATAGTTTTTATTGATTTCTCTCTGTTCTATTGTGATGTTTTAATTATTATCATTGTCCTCGACTCTTCATAATCTCTGTAGTACTTGTGGAAATTAATCGAATATGTAGTTGAAAATTCGTTTCCCAGTTAGGAATTTAAAAGTAACAATGCTGACAAAAGAATTTCAGATCATGTCACCTCATATTTAAGCTACCTGACTTTTGTAATCACTGTTAAGCATACACAAATAGAAAAGTCTCGGTTATCTGAAAAAGTGCTGTGATGAGTCAAAGACTTAAGCAGAACAAAATGTTAAGGCCGTGTGAAGAAAGGATTTAACGACTTATAATAACAATTATCATTCATTATTTTGTTCCACTGGATTCCGAGTAGAACATAGGGAGGGCTTCACCATCTACACTTTTACACTTTGTTCTATTCTCTGATATTCTATTTTCTTCAGCCAGGTACACGATTGACCATAATCTCTCATCCTTTCTGACTCACCCGATCTCCCACATATCGCCCTCACATCGACGACCTACTCGTCGCCTTTCATTGTGACTCCACTCCACCTATGCATTGTGCGCGATGTCATTCGATTGCCACCTCAACGTATACCCAATCAATCCATCTCCATTTTCCCCTAAAATATTTGTTGAGCGATTTTTTGTTGGTTGCTTCGTCGCCAGTCAGACATCTAATCTCTAGTGTGGAGCCTGTGAAATGGGCAGCTGTTCATAAATGTCTCTCTCTAACTTATTGGAAATGCTTTTCGTGACATGCAGTGCAAGTTTCTGACCCATATAGAAGAAATGACTGAGTGACTTCACATTCCTGTTGAATAGAATCCGAACGCATCTTGTTCTGTACATTGCAGAGTGCAGAAGACTTCCAAGCTGGTTTCAGATTGATGAAGGCATGTCTTTCCTTTCCTTTTCTGCTTGGCTGGCTTTGACATTTTCGTTTTGATCCTGCCGCCTTCCCTGACTTCAATGGCTTGATTGCATTCAAGTTTTCGACTTGGAAGATTGGCGTCCAATGGCAGTTTTGTTCTTACTGTTGACGACATTTCTGGAAAAGTTGCAGGTGACAGTAAATTCAAGAGTCATTTGAAGTGATAAGCCCATTGTTCTGTTTGTCTCTCCTCTTTGATAATTAGGTCCACTCGACCAACTTTGCTTGTTTTCATCCCCTTTGATCTCTTCCTGGATAGACACCTGGTTATCTGATTTAATATTCTGAGGTAGAATAAAATGTTGAGGCTATTTGGGGAAAAGATTTCAGAACTTATCTGACCAGTATGACTGGGTTACGGACTCTGATGTGTGTTAGCAGAACAAAGGAGGGCCTCGAAATTATGTCTGCGACTAGTCCGATGTGCACTCGTTAAAACAAAATTTAAAACACCTAAAGTATCCTCAGATGGAATAGACGTTTGTTTAGTCAGTTTTAAGTTGGTCCAGTTCGACCAACTAATTGTAGTACCGGGTATGTTTCTATTCTGTGTAAGATGTAATACACCATTGTTCTGTAAGACACAGAAAGACTGCTATTCATCTTCTAACTCCTTAAAGCTTACCTTTAAGTAATGCAAGAGTGTCTCTTGTGTACCTTACTCTCACAGGAAGGAGAAATGTTTTTCATGAATTAATCAATGCAAATCTGAGCTACAATCACCCTTTTCATTTACCCATATTCTCTGATTATGTTGAAGAAGTGGTTGAAGTCTAAAACCGAAAACGAGAATGTTAACAATACAAGAACAGCAACTTGAGCACGAAGATACTACGCCATTCATCTCATCTTTTTCATTTAAATGGTTCTTGTCAACTGTCTATGGCCTTACACTATTTAAATGTCACTATGCGAAATATCAGTAGAGCTCAAATAGAAATGGAAAGAAAGAAGTTAATTGGAGGAGTGAGAATTAAATTAACATCACATGTTACCTAAAGGTTAAATAATAATTGAGTTGAGTAGAAGTCAAAAGATAGTCGTATGCCGTTCATTGGCTATCCTGTTGTACTGCTATATTTTGATTAAACTAGCGTACACATATATCCTAGTACTTCTTCTCGTTTATGATTGTGTCCTAACGTTGTGCTTACTCGACACACACAACGTTAATCAGAAGACACTTGAGAAGGTGTAGGAATGTGTATTCTCGCCGTAATGAAAATTCAAAACTTGAGCGAGTACAAATGTATCAATTGTTAACGCGCAAGATTTAGAGTAATAAACAAATCAAAGTACAATTACACAATGAAAGTATAGTACGATGATGAGTAATAAAATGGGTCACTGCAATCCTATTCGATTATTATTCGACTACATTTCGAATGAGTTTCTAGAACCTTCAGCTGACTAGACGTCACAACAAAGCTCTCAGCTATGACTTCTGATGACAGGTTCCTCGACTGGTGCATTTTCTCTGACCAATTAGTGTACTCGAACACCTAAATCGGGTTCAGCATTCCTGGTTACAATTGTCTAGAACAGCCTCCCATCTCCCCTTTAACTTCCGTATTCGACCGAGTTATGGGAGATACGAATATGTCATAACTAATTTTGGTTTTCAAAAGTCTCTATATGTAACAATTTCATTTCTTGATCCTAAGAGAGGCGCTTATTATAGTGTTCCAGCCAGCCAGTTCTTTTACGTAGGTTGTTGACATTTTGAAGACAGAATCATTGATTCCGTCATGTACTGTTGAAGCACTGTTTTCCATTCGAAAGCCGAAGGAACAGCAAATAAATAATTCGACTATTTATAGACGTGACGAGTCACCAAGTTGGAGAGCGATGCGAAAATGCTGTTAGCACAGCAGAAATCCACTGCAAATCCCGGAAATTATGGGACTTAACAAGAATGTGGTTGAATCCTTGTGTTGTCTATAAATATCTCCACTTTGATTGCTGAGATTTCTAAACAGGAACTGATAGCCATTGAAGGTTTAAATGCCTTAACCGAAGGAAAAGCCTTACGCAAAAATTAGGATTTAGTTTGTATTTTTATGAGAAAGAGATCACTAGAATTAAAATAAGGGTGAAGAAATTTCAGAAGTTCCCCTCAGTACAGTTTCCGACGTCTACAAATTTCACCTGTGAATTTATCCATATCAGGGGATTTTATACACTTAGGGATTCATCAGCTTATATTTACCCTGATCCTTCACTCTGTCAGCCACAATTGCACAGCTGTTTAAACACACCATTTTAACCGTGTGATTTATACATATTTTAAGGAACACGCAACCACTTATTCTTCATTGCTACATTCCGAAGCTTTTGTGCTGGTTCACACAGCCATTATTCTACAAGTTATTTGGCTTTCCTCTCCTCTGAAATCACCTAGACCGTTTTTCTACTTAACTGAATTCTTTTTCCAGAAAATCTTTTTGACCCATGTTTCTTTATAAGCCTTTACAGTTTGGGTTCTGGTGAGTACTACAGAGCATGAATTTTAGTAAAGCTGATCAAGTGTAACATAATAACCAAATATCTAGCAGCTTATCGACTGCTAAGACATTTTCTCAACTAATCGTAGAGTCTTTCTGTAAAAGACACGTTCAACAGAAGGATACATCGTCAGAAATACTGTGCTCATAGTCAATTAACACTGAAGTTTGTCAAGAAGTGGAAGAAGACATACCAGTATCAAGAGGTCATCATAGTTGTCTAAAATCTCTAAAAATGTCACCTTGTATGCGATAGAAATAACCAGAGGGCGAATTAAATCACATGTCACTGTTACACTAAGTTTGATGTAAATGAAGAAAAGAGTTGAGTTTCACCTTATCACACCTCAACAAAATACACTTTTATTTCAAAATAAATTTCAATAGTGGCATTGTGTTTGTATTCTCAACATGTCCACTTAGAGTATCGAATGTTTCAATGTTATTTGTGAATGGTTGAATTTGCCACATTCCTCCTTTGGCAGTTTCTTCATACGGAACAGAATCCAGGCCCAGTAAACGGCTTCACCTTCCAGTTAAGTCTAGAAAAGTGTTGAAGTTTGTTTTAATATGAGCACAGAACATGTTAGTAGGTTTAATTTAAACAAATACAGGTAATTTAAAGGTGTATGTCTGAAATCTTTTAATCCTGTAATCATAAACCAGCTTGGCGATTCTTTTTGTGAACCCATAAACATGAGCATTATGTTGACAAACTAGAAATAGATGG